TCCATCCCAGCTTGCCTGGGACAAGCAGGAACCTCAGGAGGCTGAGCCAAGGGGCTCCAGCGCTGCCTGGGGTGGGGGGCACAGCCCTGGAATGGGATCTCTTCCCAGGAAGGATTCCCCAGAGCCAGCTGGATCCTGACCCCTTGTACCATCCAGCTGTGAGCACAGCTGTGGATTAGGAACAGGGGGTTTTGGCTCCCACCCCACAGGAATTTGATATTCACTGGTAACGTCAAAGCACTGAAAAAAAAAAATTCCGGTGTTTTCAGCGCTGCTTTGTTTACAAAAACTTTAAAGTTCCTTCCTAAATAATTTATCACCAGCCTAGTGTAATAAGCAGAAAGGTTTTACACAACTTCTAGAGCTGGAAAATAGGACATTACACAGATGATAAAGAGCTCTGAACCAGCCCAAAAGGTCCAGCAGTGAACTCAGCTTTGTGTTGTCCACAAACTCTGCCTGGTGCTGCAGCAGCAGAACCTGCAGTTCTGGGTGCTGGTAAGAACCTCTGTAGGATAAAGTTTGCCACTAAAATGCTTCATTAAAATATTTACCAGTGGTGTTAGGGTTTTTTATACAGCTCAAAAGTTCAAATGCATTTTTTTTTTTTTTTGGTGTCATTCATCTTAAGCATATTTTCCTATCTTTCCCTGGATTCCTTTTTTTTTTTTTTTNTTTTTTTTTTTTTTTCCTCTTTTCTGCTTTTCAGTGAAACACTTGATTGCTGCTGCATCTGTTGGCTGCTCAGGGTTCAGGCAGGGTTAGATTGGCCTGAGATGACTTTTATTGGCTCTCCTTTGGGATTCAGGCTGTCTGTCCTGCACCGAGTCCTCCTTCCCTGGCTGAATTTGTAAATAGGAGGATGGGATGCTAAAGAGATGTGGCTTTGCAGGTAGAGCAGAACGAGGAGAGGATGTTTCTTACTCGAATCAGAGTGGATTTCCCAAGCTTTAAAGATTAAAATAGAGCTTTTGGGGGCAGGAGGAAGGAGGATTACCACTTCTTGCCTTCAGTTAATTAACTTTTTTTCTGTTTATGCAATCACAGGCCCTATCTACCCCCTTAATTTGGAAGCTGCTGTTGTAGTTCAGCTAAACTCCATGCTGTTATCTGAAAGATGGCAAGTGTCTTGCTGTGGATAATTATTTTCAGGAACAGGCAGACAACATTTTAATTCCCCTTGCCTAATGTGTCATCAGATGCTCGTTCTGGAGTTCCATATTAGTGCATGTTTGCACAGGGGATTGGCATGTGGGAGCTGGCCAGTTTTGGGTGGATCCACACTTGATGGCACAGCTCTGCTCCAGGAGAGGGCTTAGGCTCTGTGCAGCCACTTAGGGTTTTCAGGGAAGTGCTGCAAAACCACTCAGGTTTCTCAGGTAACCCTAAAACTTAGGGTTTTCAGGTGAACTTTTCAAGGAGGGAGTTACTGGAATTTTAGGACTGGGCATTTCCTGCCTGGGCCACTCCAGGTGGAATTATGGAAGGAAGAAGAGGAGAGGAAGAGACAGGAGGAGCATTTGGGGCAGTTTTGTGCTGCCAGCCAAGGAATTTTGGTTGTAATGGTCTGGAAAACCCCAGGAGAATGGTTTGGTTGTGGGAGAGGGCCTTGCACAGCTCAGGATCACAGCAATGCCACCTCCAGGGATTGGGGACTGGGCAGCAGTGTCCAACAACTTTTCCATGGAGAAATTCCTGCTGCTGCCCAGCCTGAGGCTGCTCCCTCTCATCCTTTCACTCATTTGGGAGAAGATTCCAAACCCCCACTTGGCTCCAACCTCCTTTCACCTGAGCCTGGCTTTGGAGCTGTTCACAGAATTCACAAATTCACAAATCACAAATTCACAAATCAAAAAATTCACAAATCACAGAATCACCAGGTTGGAAGAGACCTTCAGGGTCATCCAGTCCAACCCAGCCCCAGCACCTCAACTCAACCCTGGCACCCAGTGCCACATCCAGGCTTGTTTTAAACACACCCAGGGGTGGGGACTCCACCACCTCCCTGGGCAGCCACTCCAGAACTTTATCTCCCTTTCTGTAAAAAAAAGTTTTTTCCTAATTTCCAACCTAAATTTCCCTTGGTGTAGCTCGAGGCTGTGTCCTCTGGTTCTGTCAGTGCTGCCTGTCCCTAAGTAGAGCTGCTGTTCTTGCCCCTCTTCTGTTGTCCTTTTATTAATCCAGACTTGGGGACCGTTGGTCATGAACAAATGGATGTGTTTCAACTAAAAACATCAAATAAAATTGAAAAATAAAAGGTCATTTCCTGCCCCAGTCACCTCTGTGGTGGTCGAGTCGTATGGGCTTCAATTTCTTCCCTCTAATCCCTCACCCCAGCACTTCCTGAAAAATGTATATAAATAGGAGAAAATGCATTAAGAATAACTGTTATATATAGAGGGGAAAATTATCAGCTATAATCCATCTGTAGAACCTTTATTTAGAACAAAAAGTGATTTAAGTTACCTGTTCTTGCCTCACACAGCTCTAAATGTGTGTTTTGCCTTCCTGCTGAAGGATCTAAAACATAAACGGAGCAGGAATGGAGCTGAGAAAAGGAAATAATTGTGTTTTATGAGAGGAGAAGTTTGGAGCTGGATGGCACCCACCTTGTTCTGTCAGGATTTCAAAGGAAAAAAAAATCCTGAATTCATAAATCCCATGTTTTCCTCAGTTAAAAATACAAATATACTTCGTTCTCCCTTCAGCTTTGGATTTGTTGCTTTTGTTATCTGTACTTTTAGTATTACTTGGAATAGGTAATTTAATTTCAACTTCATTGCACTTGTCTCAAACATGGTAAGTTTTTGGAGTTCCATGAAAACAGAGATTGTTTTTTGTGAAGGTACTACAGAAGTGTAAAATAACTGTTTGTACTTAAGCACTAATAAAAGTTCATTAAACTTTTTTTTTTCTTTTCAGGTTTCCTCTCAAAAAACCTTCGAGGTGAGTTCCTGAAATCTGCTTTTTTTGTCTGTATTGTCAATTATGCTGCAGCATTTTTGTAGGGGCAATGCTTTTAGAAGTTTTATAAACATATATATATATGCAAACTCAGCTTGTAGTACTCATTACAGATGTGAGGAAATCAATATCCAGATGGAGATAAGGTGCCAAAAATAGGTTTATTGGTGATAAATGGGGTGACTATTTTCATTCTATGACATGGCTGGGGCTCATCTTACCTGAGATTTGAGATGGTCAGGGAAGGCAGGGGACACTGTTGGTACAGGTGCTTCCCTTCTGGCGAGATTCTAAATCTTTAATTTTGCCCTGCTGAAATATTTAACGTTTGCTGGGAGAGTTAAGATTTCAGGAGGGTTTTTTTCCATTAAATTTATTTGGCTTTTAAGATAAAATATGGGCTGATGCTGAGTGATAAAGAGAATGCACTTGCTGTTACCAATTGTGGAGGTTTCCAAGACTGTTCCTGGAGCCTTGGATCCACTCCCAGAGATTGCAAGGGAGATCATTTCCCACTTTGAATTCAGCCTGGGAATAAATTTTTTAAGGCAACTCGATGCCTGTGCTTTAATCTGAATTTCTGGGTAGCAGGCAGAGCTGGGTGAGGTCTGTGTGGGCTCTCAGGCAGCTCCTGTGGGCTCTGGTGTGAGGATATTTTGCTTTTCTGTGCCCCAGACACGGCAGCATTCTGAGCAGAGAGTCTCCAGCAGACAAGAAGCAGAAGGTCGAGCGCTGCAGCAGCACCCACGACTTCGATCCCACAGGTAAAGCCCTGAAATTCAAGGGGAAAAAAAACAACAAACCCAAACAAAAGCCCTGGGAAGTCGATTAAAAATGATCTGAATGTGGTTTTCAGCGCTGTGTTGTTCTGCAAAGGCAATGTGGGCACTGAAATGAATGTGGGCTTGGTTTTAAACACCCTCATAATCAACCTGGATTAGTGTATCAGTAAATAATTATAACAACTTCCACTTTCAGCAAAGTCAGGAGGCAAAGGCTGTAATTAGCTGTGAGGAGTTCTGCAGTAAAATCTGAAATTGGACATTTGATTGGCCCAGCCAGGGCTGGGGTTTTAATTTTGGGGGATTTGTTTTGTTATTTAGTCGATTTTGATCCCTCAGTGCCCCTTGCAAAGTGAATTTGTGCTTCCCAAGGTGACACATTTGAAGATCAACTCCTCATTTTAAAGGATTTGCTGTCCTACTCCTGTTTAGTCTGCTTTTATTTTAGTTAAATTAGGGAAATGAAGGTGCACACAGGATTTTTGTCTCTCTGGAACACTCCCCCAGTGCCTGCTCATGAAATTCCTGCCGGGCTCCTGGCTGAGCCTCCTGGCCCCATGCAAGGTGCATTTTTCCTATCTGTGCATTCAGGATTTTCCCTGGGGCTTGGGGAGCACAGGGAAGGTGAATGGAAGGGGGGCACAACTTGTACAATGTGGGTTTTTTTGTGCACAAGGCTGATGTTTATAAACCACCCTGGTAATGGTTTCTGCCACTGGCTGCATGAGTCCTTCTAGTGTGCACAAAATAAATGAAAATGGACTTTAAATGGCCATTTAATGGGAAAAAAAAAACTGGTTTAGTGCTGTCTTCTCTTCCTTTGGGATAGGTAATGTGGAATTATTTCAGGTTGGGGGAGTTCTCAGGCTGTGAACTCATTTTGTGGAAGGAATTTAATTTCTCCAGAAACAAACTTGAGGAATCCTGTAATCTCAATTTGCAGCAAGTGACTCCAGAGTTGAGAGCTGTGCTTGTGCTTTGATAGAGCAGCTCTGCACTGCAGCCTGGAGAAAACCCTTTTCTTTTATTGAAGGGGTGAATTCAGGATGCTGAAGTGCTGTGCCTGTGCTGATTATTGACTCTGGGGAGGAACATTGCCAGAGTCTCCGTGCTTGGACTGGTTTTTATCTGTAGTTACTGCAGAGAACTCCTCTGGTCGTGTCCCAGCTCCTGTACCAGATTCTGTGTGCTGTTCCCTGTGTCTCCCTGTATTATTCACCCTTATTCCAAGTGCTCCACCTGTGTTTTGTTCACATCTTATTTGTGTTTTGCACGACTTAACCCGATAAATCCAAGTCTGTGTTGTTTTTTTTTTTTTT